ATCATTTGACGAGGTTGGATTTCTAAGCACAAAAGTGCTGATTCCGGTTATTTTCGATGGAGATAGGGTTGTTGAGTCGTCGGTACTAGATATCAGGACATGGATGCTAGGGAAGTATGCTGTGGAAGTTGTTAGATCACTTTCATGGTTAGTATGGGATTTGATGGTATGGATGTATGTGCCTCAGAATCAGGCTTCTGTCGGAATATACAAGCTAGAGGGAGGTCTGCAATGAGGTTCGCAGACCTGGTGAAGGGAATATTCGGGCATAATGGTGATATTATGAGTAAGTTTGGGTAACGGCTCGTCCATGAGGCAGAGGCGGGGGTTCAGGATGTTACAGGCTCTCTGTGTGGTGAGGAAAAGAGGAAAGAAGAAATGGTTCGGAAAATCAAGGAGCATGGATGGATCTGGAGAAGAGAAGAAGACAGGGCAAGCTTTGTTATGAAGGCATGCTTAAGATATCTGGAATTAGAAGAAGTAGGTCTGGGGGACTAACGTTGAGTTACATAAATCATTCTATACTGATAAGTACGTATGAAAAATATAAGAGCATTGATATTGTAGCGGAACTAGTCAAGCAAACATTTTTGCAAGATAGGGTGATAATGACATCATCAACAGTGCAGCGCATGAGGTCAAGGAGAGAGAAGATGCAGAGAGAATAAGAAAAGAAGAGGGCCAGGGATGCAGAGGAGCTGCTTCGGATGGAGGAGAGTGGAAAGGTTCTAAGGCAAGAAAGGTGCAGGAGAGGTTGAGGAGGAGAGCAGGGGGGAAGATCGAGGTTAGGCTTTATAGATACAAGGGAGGTTCCTGAGGTCCGATAATGTATGAGTATGTGGCATATGGACATAATAAATATATGAAGTGAATGGACAAAGTATTGCTTGACGTTATTCAGATGCTTCGGATGGCAGGGCAGGGACGTAAATAGAAGGAGTGTGGCTGGATAGAACTTACACGACATGTAGCTAGGCTGGAAAGGAGGTGGATGGGGAGGAAGGAGGATGCAGATGGTGTGGGGGTATCCATTGAAGGCAGTAGGCTGTGTGTATGCAAGGTCCCGGGCTATCATTTATTCGTCAAGTCGTTGGAGGTGCTTGGCTTGGGAGCCAGGGGAAGTGGTTACCGAAAATGAGCAGGCACTCATAGAGGATGGAAAAGTAAACAAACATGGCAAGGCCAAAAGGACAAGGGCAGCTATCCTCCAGGCTGGAGCAGGTGCAGGATCCCTTCTGGACGGGAAGCGGTGATTGATGAGGCGAATATATGTGTTTATGGTCGATTGGTTGGGTGTGGGGACAGGGCGTGGTCTGTGGGCCATGTGTGCTGACGAGGGCTTTATGGGGCCGGGCAGTTGTGTGCAGCCATGTTGTGCGGGAACGATGGCGGGGGGAGCTGCGGCAGGCAGGATGCTCTGTAGGTGGATGGAATGGGCTAGTTTGAGAAGGTTCTGCGGTGAAGAGGTAAGGAGCAAAAGGACATTATGCCTTGGAGGAAATGACCTGTGCAGGGCAGCAAGCACCGCTGAGAGACATCACGACGTCATATGAAAAGGAGATGGAGGCGACTAAGCAGGAGGAAAGATCTGACCCATGAGGCGGATCTATGCAGCATGGACGCTAGTTGCAGCGGCTGGTGTGATGGACTGCTCCCCACGATTGGAGAAGGCTGCCGCCTTTACACTCGGGCCAGATAGCCAGGTGATAGTATTCCCGTTTATGTTCCAGGGATACAATATTGTTGTGCTACCGACAACGAAGTACGGCGACTTGAAGGGAAATGCAAGGAGACGTGTTGCATCCTTTTTAGAACACAATATTTCTCACGCGGTGTGGTATTTTGTGGTTGGCGGGATAGCATACAAGGATGATCGATCTGAGAGGCTGTTTAGTGAAATGATGGACGGGTACTTGAAGAAGATATCTGCAGGTGCATCAAAGGTGTACAAGGGAGGCCGCAAGATGTTTAGCGAGTCGTTGGAAACAGTGCATGAAATGATATTTGAATGCAACAAAGCGGGAGATGGTCATGTAGTGAAGTATGGAAAAAGTATCATAAACAGACTTAGCGACATGATAGAAAATGCACCTACCGGAATATCTGCAGAAGAGAAAAGGGAGTATCGAAGGTTTTGGAGTAGGGTTAAGGAACGCGCAGGGTTTCTTTATAGTACGGAAAGATTGAGGCGGGTAGTTGAGGTGGAGAAGATAGTGTGCAATGCATGCAAGGAGATCTGCCTTAAGTTGAAAGAGGAGGAGCTGATGGGACTGTTGGCAGAGGGGAAGATGAAAAAGGATTTAAAGGCAACGGTTGATGAAGATGAGATTGGCCACTGTCTATACTTAGAATATACTGTTGTTAACACTAGTCTGTTATTAGATGCACACAGAGAGCATGGAGGAGATGTTACAAGGGAGTTAGTCAAGCAGATGCTGCTGGGGAAGAAGGGAGATGAGATAGACAGGAGATATATCAACAAGGTCGCGAATGTAGTTAAGGAAAGGCAGAGAAGGGAGATGGAGAAGAAGGAGGAGGAGAAGAAGAAGGAGGAGGAGAAGAAGAAGGAGGAGGAGAAGAGGAAGGAGGAGAAGAAGAAGAAGAAGGAGGAGAAGAAGGAGGAGAAGAAGAAGAAGAAGGAGGAGAAGAAGGAGGAGAAGAAGGAGGAGAAGAAGGAGGAGAAGAAGGAGGAGAAGAAGGAGGAGAAGAAGGAGGAGAAGAAGGAGGAGAAGAGTGGGAAGTCTCTGAGGGAGGGGGAGGCAAGTGAGGAAGCGGAGATGCCGTCCGTGGAGGTTGGAGGAGCACGCAGGAAGACAGGTAAGAAAAGTGAGGGTGGTCGGAAGCGCTACAAGATCCACAGAAGGGTTTCCCGATGGAGAAAGAGCCCTGAGAAGATCAAGGAGGAGTGGGACAAAGGAAGCGAGGAGAAGTGGAGGGGAAGGTCTCTTGAAGAGATCAAGGAGCAGAAGGTGTTCCATGACATAATGGGTGTGCTGGAACTTCTCAGGAGTGAAGATGCAGACAAGTTCTTTATAGATACAGGAGATTACACCAAGGGCGGGAGTGAGAGGCAGAGGATGGTGGCGATTGGGGTTCTTGAGAGCGGAGGAAAGAGGATGGCAGGAGTGGTGGAGGTTGGGACGTTCAAGGACTCTTCTAGTGGATGCCCAGTTGTGTACCACCTGATGTTCCGGGTTACAGGGATAGAGGGGATGGGAGATGTTATGAGCCCAGAGTTTGCTGAGGCTAATGACATTGAGAAGATAGATAAGAATAGGGAATACCAGGATGAGGGCATGTTTGTGTATCCAAGAGGAGTAAGGTTTGAAACGGTGAAGGAGACCGATGCATTCCAGATAGTGTGGGGGAATCCTTCAAACACCTCCAAGGTTCTCCGGCGTCTCACGATTCAGCGCAGGCCATATGTGATCTGAGCGGTGTGATGTTATAATGAATAAAGAAATGGTGCTATGCTTGTGTTCTGTTCTCTACTACGGCCTCTTTGACCTGTGGAATTCCTTCAGGTTGTTTAGTAGACATATGTATGTTGATTGTGATGAAGGGTGGAATAAATGTCTGTGTTGGCGTGAGAACATGTGATAGAATGAAGATTGTTTACTTATCGGACCTTGATGGAGCAGAGACTCTCTTTAGCTTATTAAGTAAGCCAAAATGATTATTTAGAATAACCATAGATCTACACATCATAAACGTGTAGGCAAAAAAAACAAGGATAAGGATGAGGGCAAGGACAGCCACTCTCCATGATGCAGTAGGAAGAGAACTCTTTCCAGATGGGCAGTACTTCTCCTTGAGCAATCGTATCAGGATGGGTAAAAGAAATAGGACTGCATAGAGAAGACGGTCCTTGGATTCTTTACTCACAAGTGCAGTACGGGGGAACAGTAGTATCAGGATGTCAATAAGGACGTTGATTCCAGTATCTGTGAATCCAATCTGTCCTGGAACAAGGCGGCAGGAGACGGAGAGGAGATAGGTGAATGGGATGAAGAAAGAGGGAAGGGTGATGGAGTAGAGGAGTGAATCATCATCTTCCCATTCAGCAAGGGTGAATGCAATGATTGAAAGGATGGAGATGATGGTGAATGCAAGAAGCAGGAGATTGAGGGTGTAGTAGAGCATGCTCTGCAGGATGCCCTCTGGTTTGTTATGTGGCATCCTGTTGGTGTGGAGTAGTACGGCATACTGTACTGCTGAGTATGAAAAGGGGAGGAGTACTGTGATGAATCTGAGGAAAAGGCTATCTTCAAAACTGTCTTTGGTGAAGATGAAGTACATGGCGGCTGGGAATGCAATTGACACGATTGGAGCGATGTCGAGGATCTTCCTCCAGTGTCGCTGGTTCTCGGTGTGTTGCTCTGTTCTGTGTGGCTCTGGAACGTGCATAGTGTTCATGTGGGTAAAGGAGAAATATGGATGAAATGGATATATTGATATGATTGGGAGTGTGGGGAATTAATGAAGCCTTCGTTATGGGTACAATATGGCGTGTATTGCTGGGGGAACTGGATTTGATGGCGGGGATATGGATTGGCAGGAGGGCTACATGGTTCTGGCGTGGAGAGGACGGGAAGGTTAGGCTTTGCAAGGGCGGGAGAGGAGAGAGTGTGGTCTACTGCCAGATGTTCGGGCCCACGGACTCTGGAAGGACAAGAAAGGGAGCAATTTCGCCGTTTGGGAAGTGTGATGATGTGGGCCATCCCATACCATAGATTGTGAATAAATATGATATGATAGACATTTAATGTCATACCTGGGCAGCTTGGGATGGTGCTGGGTGACTAGCCATTTATTGAGTCTCTAGAATGCCAAGCAGACACAAAGAATGGGAAGGCGTTGCATGCTTCGTGTAGTTGTGTGTGGCAGTCTCTGGGCCCGGAGAGATGATGGGGTGGGGAAGTGCTCGAGAATGTGTGTGTTGATGTGGTGAGCCCTGTTGTTGGCGGGGTTCTCAGTTGCCTTATGTGGTGTGGTGCCATATGATTGGCCGAATGGTGGGGTTGGAGCCCAGTAGCAGGAGTGGGGTCTTGGAGGAGTGCAGAGAGTGCAGAGCCATCGTTATGAAGGGAGATGGTGTACAGACCCCTTTGCATAAAGGAGATAGTATATTAGGTGGAGAGGGGGCCTGCCTTATGAGGTATGCGGCATGGACATTAATCAGTGCGGTTGATGTAGTGTATTGCTCTTTGGAGACAAGGGAGAGTGTTTCTTTGACATTCAATCCAGATGGTCAAGTGATAGTGGTTCCGTTTATGTTCAAAGGGTATAACATTGCAGCATTGCCAACGACAAAGTTCGGTGACTTGAAGAAGGACACCAAGCAGATAGAGAATGTTGTATCTTTTTTGAGAAGCGATATTTGTTATGCAGTGTGGGAGTTTCTGGTCAGCTCGGTGCAGTACAAGGATGATGATCGGTTTGAGAGGCTGTTTGACGAAAGAATGAGGGGGTATCTAAGGAATATATCTGAAGGTACATCAAAGGTGTACATGAGAGGGAACAAGACGTTCAGTGAATTGCTGGAAATGGTGTGCGGGAGGATGTTAGAATGCAGTGGAAGGGTAGCGGGGGGGGGGGGCATAGTAAGATATGGAAGAGATGTCATGAGAATGCTTGACGACATGATAGAAAACCCGCCTGCTGGAATGTCTGAAGAGGAAAAGAAGGTGTACCTGGAGGATTGGAGGAGTGCTAAAGAATGGGGAGGGTTTCTCTATAGTATAGAAAGATGGGAACGGATAGCTGAGGTGGAGAAGATAGTGTGCAATGCATGCAAGGAGATCTGTCTTGGGCTGAGGGAGGAGGAGCTTCTGGGATTGCTAGCCGAGGGAGGTATGAAGAAGACTTTGAAAGAGGAATTCAGCGAAGATAAGGCCAAAGATGCAAGATATCTAGAATATATTGTTGTTGATGACGTGCTGTTGCTGGATGCACACAGAGAATATGGAGGAGAGGTCACCAAAGAGTTGGTTAGGCAGATGCTGCTGGGGAAGGAGGGAAAGGATATAGACAAAAGATATGTAGACAGGGTTGCAGGTGTAGTCAGAGAAAGACAGAGGAAAAGAGAAGAGGAAACGGAAAGGAGTGTGAAAGAGCTGGTGGGGGACGAGGAGAAGGCGAAGAGTAAGGAGGAGAAGGCGAAGAGTAAGAGGGGGAGGAAGGGGAAGAGTGCTTCTGCACCCTCGGAACAAGAGGAGGAGAAGAAGGAGAGCGAGGTAGAGGAGGCTGAGCAGGGCGGGGAAGTAGAGGCGCTGCCGGTGGAGGTTGGAGGTGCACGCAGCAAGGGGGGCAAGAAGAAGAGCAAGGGTGGTCGGAAGTGTTTCAAGATCCACAGAAGGGTTCTTCGGTGGACGAAGAGCCCTGAGAAGATCAAGGAGGAGTGGGACAAGGGAAGTGAGGAGAGGTGGAAGGGAAGGTCTCTTGAAGAGATCAAGGAGCAGAAAATAGTGCATGATATAACGGGTGTGCTGGAACTTCTCAGGAGTGAAGATGCAGACAGATTCTTCATGGATGCAGGAAAGTACAGGAAGGGCGGGAGTGAGAGGCAGAGGATGGTGGCGATTGGAGCTCTTGAGACTGGGGGACAGAGGATGACAGGAGTGGTGGAGGTTGGGACGTTCAAGGATGGGGATGGATGTCCGGTTGTGTACCACCTGAGGTTCAAGCCAACCAGTATAGGGTCGATAGGAGATGTTATAAACCCAGGGGTTGTTGAAGCAAGTGATGTAGGCAGGGTAGACGAGGGTGAAGAATGTGAGGATGCGGACAAGTTTGTGTATCCAAAAGGAGTAAGGTTTGAAACGGTGAAGGAGACAGGATCATTTCAGATAGTGTGGAAGAATCCTTCGGATACCTCTGAGGTTCTCCGTCGTCTTATTGTTTATTGCAGGCCATGTGTGATCTGAGTGGTGTGGTGCGATGATGAATAAAGCAAATAGTGTTATGCTTGTGTCCTGTTCTCTGCTACACATTTTTGGGCAGCAAGTTGGTCTCCTCTGGCTTGGATTTGTCTGGCGGATGTTTCTTCTTATGTGGTGGTTGGAGACATTGCAGATGGAGGATAGGAGGTTATTTATTGATCAGCTTTTGGCACGTGTCTCTGCCTCATTAGTAGGCAGAGGAGATTATACACAATGACTATAGATCCATACACCATAAGCCATAGGGACAGCAAGAGGGCAAGGACAGCCACTCTCGATGGTGCAGTAGGCAGAGTGCTTTTTCCAGGGGTGCAGTGCTTCTTCCTGAGCAGTCTTAGCAGGAGAGTGTAGGGGATACGATTGCAAGGTAGGAACGATACTTGGGCTCTTTTAAGATAAGTGATAGACTTCCTACAGAGCATAGTAGGATCGGGATGTCGATAAGGACGCTGGAATTGGTATTTGTGAAGGCGGTTTGTCCTGGAACAAGGCGGCAGGAGACGGAGAGGAGATAGACGATGGATACAATAAAAGAGGGGAGAGTTGTAGAAAGGAAGATTGAACCGCTACTTTCCAGTTTCCTTCCAGCTAGTGTGGGGCAGGAGAAGATACTGGGCTGCTGAGTATGAGGATTGGAAGAGCACGGTGATGAATCTGAGAAAAGGACTCTCCCCGAAACGATCTTCGTTGAGGACGAGATAGATGAGGGTTGGGAATGCAGTTGGCACGAATGCCACAAGATTGTTGTTGAGGACGGCGCTCGAATGGAGTTCTCGGTGTGTTGCCCTGTTGTGTGCGTGATGTTCATATGGGCAAAGGGAAGGATGGAATGGATGTCATCTGGTAGGATGGGGGATTGGTGGGTTGAAGGTGAAGTGGCTTTGGTGGTTGACAGATTCTGGGGGTCTCTGCGGCGGTTTTCCGCGGAGGCAGAGAGGAGGGGTGAGCGGAGGTGGTGTGCTTGGAGATGGAGATGATATCTCGATGGATGGCTGGGGTCGGCGGGATGTGGTGGATAGCGATTGGACTCTGGATTTGGGTTAGTTGTCTTTGGAAGGATGTTTTTGGAGTGTCTAACCATGCTGATTTGTAGAAGAGAGGAAGGAGGAGATGGTTTAGAGGTGTAGTGATGTTCAGAGGGGATGATGTAGTGGATAGGTTTGGACAGGGGGTTGGGGAGGAAGCAGAAGGAGAGATTCAGGTTGATAAATTCTGTGGGGAGGTGTGTTAGTGTAAGACTGATTGTTAAGAGATGAGCTGTTTATTCGCCGGGCTTTGATGAAAGGATGCTCTCTCCACCTTGCCAAATGAGATGGAGTAGTTATCGAAGATGTCTGCGTTCATTATTAGATACGCTAATAACGCATAAGCGATGACGATAGAGATGAGTATAAGGACAAAGACCGCGATTCTCCATGGTGCAGTAGGGGGAGGGCTCTGTTTCTCTGGAGAGAGCTTCTCCCTGAGCAATCGTATCAGGATGAGTATGGAAGATATGATTGCAAAGTAATAACAATGCTTGACTTCGTCGAAGGCAGGCACTAAATCTCCTGCAGAGCATAGTAGTATCAGGATGTCAACAAGGACGTTGATACCAGTGTCTGTGAATCCGATCTGTCCTGGAACAAGACAGCAAGATGTGGAGAGGAGATAGGTGAGTGGGACAGTGAAAGAGGGAAGGATGAAAGAAAAGATAATTGGATCATTATTATTTTCCCAATCATCATCTTCCCATTCAGCAAGGGTGAATGCAATTATTGAAAGGATGGAGATGATGGAAAATGCAAGAAATAGGAGATTGAGGGTGTAGTAGAGTATGCTTTGCAGGATGCGCTCTGTCTTGTTATGTGACTTCCAGTTGGTGTGGAGTAAGGCATACTGTACTGCTGAGTATGAAAAGGGGAGGAGTACTGTGATGAATCTGAGGAAAAGGCTATCTTCAAAACTGTCTCGTCAGAGATGAAGTACATGGTGGCTGGGAATGCAATTGACACGATTGGAGCAATACCGAGGATCTTCCTCCAGTGTCGCTGGTTCTCGGCGTGCTGCTCTGTTCTGTGTGGCTCTGGAACGTGTGTGGTGTTCATGTGGGTAAAGGAGAAATATGGATGAAATGGATATATTGATATGATTGGGTGTGTGGGGGTGTTAGATTTGTGTTATGGTATGGGATATTGGTGGGGTTGTGCGGAGACTTGGAGTAGGAGGGTTGGGAGGCAGTGGGGATCTAAGAGCTTTGGGGATGCAGATGGATTGGATGTGGATTCTGTTCCTGGTGGAATGAATTCCTCGTGAGACATATTGTGTGATATTGTGCAGTGCAGGTGATGGATGTGTGTTTGGTCGATGGCCTCCGGGGGAGAAGGATCTTAGTCGGAGGGCGAAGAAGCAGTGCAACGGGTGTGGGAGACAGCGGGCCCTTGAAGATGTGAAGGTTATTGGCATGTACAGTCGTGCTGGTTGGGATATCATGTGTCTCTCGGATGGTGGAGGAGGTGAGAAGCTTGAGGATGGGTTGGGCTGGAGGTTTAGCAGGTCGAAGATAGAGATGTTGAAAGGATCGCTTGAAGAAGGGGCGGGTTTAGAGACTTGGATCTAGCTCCGGTTGTTTTCCACGGGGACAAGGTTGCTGTGCTGCCGGACACTGGCGGCAGGAGATGGATGCAGGAGAAAGGGCATGTGCTTCCCAGTTGGCGGGCTACTCCCATATTTGGCACTTCGGTCGGTAGCATATATATGCGTGTTTGGAGACAGCAGCAGGGCTCCGGATCTGATACGTGAGGCGTTTGAAAGTCCGCATTTCAAGAGGTTTGATGGTGCTGGGACGTACAAGGAGGCCAAAGGGAGATGTGGAATGAGGTTTGCGGACGTGGTGAATGGAGCGTTTGGGCAGATCAGCGATATGGCGGATAAGGTTGGGAAGGGAGAGCCAGAGGTTTGGTGTATTTGGAAGAAGAGAGGAGAGGTGGAGATGCTTCTGAAGGTTAAGGAGTACAGGAAAGGCTATGGATCAGGGAAAAGAAGGAGGAGATAGTTAATAGGCCGCTCGCTGCCGACAAGTATGTGTGACGGGTTTTTTGTCCGGACAGGTAAGTACAGGGGGGGGCGGGAGATGGAAGGTGGCGGCTCTTGGGGTACTTTTGGGAGAGGGAAGAAGAGGGAGGGCTTTTCAAGAAGAGGGAGGGCGTGATCTACCACCTTCTGTTCAGGTCCACTGGTCTGAGAAGACAGGAGAGAATGCAAGGCCGTTGATTGTGAAGGGAAATGATGTAGACGAGGTAGGGGAGGATGCAGGGAGCTCCTCGTCTCTGGATGGTTCGGAATCTTGCTGTTCTGAGATTCCTGAGATGCGGTAATATGAAGGGAATGAATAAATATGATAGATGTGTGTTGTTTTGATGGGATGGCTAGGGCGGAGATTTGGTCGAATGGGGGCATTCAGGATTGAGAGCAGCCTCCTGGAGATGGGCCATAGATGATGGCAAGGCAGATAGTGAGGGATGTGTTCTGGGGATGTGGGAGATGGACATACAGTGGCATGAAGGAGCAAGGACGTGGGTCTTGGTCTTCTCTTTTCGACTTCGATTCTAGTTAGTGGTGAATGGAGTCTCGGACTGAGCTGGATTGAAGGTGATAGTTGATGAAGAGCTCTGGGTTGCCTGGAGGGGAGATATATGTTGGGCTTAGCGGGTTGTTGGAATGGGACATAGATTGATGGAGGAGAGGGGATGTGGCTGGCTGTAGAAGAGGTTGAGGATGGGGTATGTGGTTTGCTCGGGGGAAATACGGAGAGAAAGTTCCTTGATGGGATCAGAAATGGGAAAAGTTTTTCGGTGATGGAGACGGGCAGGCTTTGATAGACTAAAGGGATCTGGATTGGATGTCGGAGTCGTGGGTGGTGGGGCTTGGGTGTTGGAGTTTTCAAGGAAGTGCTGTTTGAGGTCCCTTATAGAGTGTATGTGGTTGGTGGTATAGCACACCGATGTCTGCTGTGGTCGGATTTTGGAAACTCATATTTTCCCCCATTTCCTAATTTTTCCATTTACATTCCTGGTATTTCGCCTTCTCTCTCTCATCTTAACACTTCCTTCATTTTATGTTCTCACCTGGTCCCTCATTCCTTTTTCATACTTCTCTCTCCCCTAATATTCTCATTCCCCTCTTATTCACTCCTAAACTATCTTCCTCTTTTCCTAATTCCTCTCTCTCTTCTTTACCAACCCCCTCCTCCTTGTATGTTCCTCACCCTTTTTTTCATTCTCCTTTTACCTCCATCTCTCTTTTTTTTATATCTCCTCTCAATGGCTTCTCACTGCCTCTGACATCTTTCTTATATTAATGTCCTATCATTTCTTCTCTTCTCTCTTCCACCACTTTACTATTCTCTTCCTTACTCTCAACTGTTTTCTCTTTTTTCTTCTAAAGACTCTTCTTACCTTCTCCTTTTACCCCCCTCTGTCCTTCGTCCTTTTCCTCTCTTTCTACTTTTCCCTCTACTCCCTCATCCTCTTTTTCACTTACTCTTTTCATTCCCTCTTTCTCTTGCTCTCGCCTCTTTCCCTCTCTCTCTTTCTATTATGCTTCTTTCCCTCTCATCTTTCTCTTCCTTCCCACTCTCTATCTCATCTCTAACCTCCTTTCACTCCTTCTCTTCTCTCTCCCTCC